AAACTGTTAACATAAAAACCGAAACATGGCATTAAATTGCTTTCAGCATTTGTCCAGCTTTTAATCATGTTAAGCAGGATCTTGTCTTGAATAGAAAATGTTTCTATTCCTTTCAACAAGAAAGGTCAAAGGCAGGCAATATGCTGCCTGTAGTGTATGTTGGGCTTAAAAACATTAAGTATTGATTGCTTTTATTATGCAAAATCTATACTTATTACTAACCTGCAGCAATTACTCACTGTAGAACATAAAATATCTATAAAAAGAAAAAAATTACATTCAGCATTATTAATTATAATAATACCTGATGATATATGAGAAGAAAGTGGAGCTGAAGGAATAAGGAAGTTGATGTTGCTGTTGCTAATGAGAGTTCCACTGATCAATAAACTAGATCTACTACTAGATTTATCTAAATGAATTAAACAATATATACACTGCAGGTGTGTGCAATAGTAGTAGTGATTAGAGAGTTATAGATCACTGGAGTGTACAAAAATATGTGTGGCATGATAAGGTGGGGGAAAATTTGTACCTGTACGCTACCACTACTACTACAGCTTATGACAAAAGTATTAGTAATAACAAATGATAAACTCCAAATTGTTGACTTTTGTAAAAAAAATTAACACAAAATGATGACAAGAGTATGTAACATCTATTAGATTGTATGCTGATAAATTTTTAGAAGCCAATAGATTTACTTGATGGAGTGGGTGACATAAAGTGAGTTGAGGAGATGTATAGATCTGAAGAGATAGAAGCTGTAGGCATAATATTAAAACTAGTAACAGAAGTACTACTGATTAATGGTGAACTGCTACTGACCACTTGATCTATAATAGAAGTATATAATGTATGATGAATAAATCATAAATATAATTATAACCAGACATTGCACGTCTACTGGAATTTTCATGTACTTGTATTTACTTGTATTTTGAAAAAAGCAGGTCGTGTATGTACTTGTATTCATTGGCAAATTTTCGTGTATGTACATTTACTTATTGCTTCCCAAATTCATCTATATTTTGGTAATTTTTCGTTTACTTTTCATGTATCCTGTACTTAAATGTTGAATCATTGAAAGTCTAATGTCTTCATCACCTTTTCTATTGCTTTTTTCATCATCTGCTATTGCTAGAAGGACTAAAAAGACCATCAAAGATCCGTGGTTAAAGAAACTAACTGCCATTTTGACTGCTACGCGGACACACCCTTTAATTATTAATAGTTAATATAACTACATGAAAATCGTCTCCTTAAACTCCGTCTACTTATTTTTGGTTCATGTATATACTTGTATGTACTAGAAGACCTGTTTTTCGTCTAAATACTCGTGTATCGTGTATA